GTTAAAATATATGTTTATTAAATAAAGTCTGTTACAACTAATCATGGATCCCTTTAAAAATAAATAAAACCATATAAATAAAGAAAAACAGTGAATATAATGAATAACCATTTAAAAAACAGTAAACAAAGCTTAACCAAAATCCTGTCTCGGACAACCTAAACAATGTTTATGTCTATCCCTGACTTGGGTCACTGTTAAATTAATATGCTTTCATCCAAATTAGCTATGTGCCGACCAAATCTGTCAATGCATCCGTTAATTACAATACAGCTTCAGTTTCTAGTCGTTTGCACAGTTTCCAAGTCCTGCTACTGATAGTCACTTTATGTCCAGTAAATCCCTTCACTGCTGCTTTTTAATTCATTGTGATCAAAACTAAAACCACTTCAACTTATGCTTCACTAGCAGAACTGCAGAAGAGGAAGTTGCCTAATTTGAAGATGTTGCTTCATTTTTCCCTTGAAAATTTAACTGAAGAAATATCTTGTGTACAGAAAATCTATGTAGCAGAATCCTTAAAACTCTCTTTCTGTCATGTTTAATGCATTAGCTCTAATCTTGATTAATACAAAGGTTTACGTCTTACAAAATTACAAAAAATGAGAGTGAAATATAAACCTTATTTTTGCACTCACAGTGACTAATAAATGAGTGATAAATTTAAACACTTTATCGAACTAACTTCATTTTTTAACATTAAATGATTTGGCCGTTTTTTAAGAGTGAGAGTTTTCCATTCCAGAACCTTCTCTTCATCAGTTCAGTAAATTCTGACACTTTGAATGCAGACAGGCGGAGTTTCCCTCCTCTGTAACCTGCCCCCTCCTGTCTCCTGCCACAGCATCGACACAGGTGAGAGCCCCGTGAGTGGTGGGCCAGCCGCTGCCATGGATCAGCCTCATGTCATCCCCAGCCAGGGGGACCTGCTGGGAGACTTGCTGAACCTGGACCTGGGGCCTCCAGTCAACGTACCCCAAGTCTCTTCCATGCAGATGGGTGCAGTGGATCTGCTGGGTGGAGGCCTGGACAGTTTGGTGAGCTCAGTTGGACAGATTTGTAGATTTGTTGTTATGTTAAACAAAAACAGGAAGTGAAATTTTCTTATTGATCACGTTTGCTAATAAAGTCTCTGTTTGTGTGTTTTTGTGGCGTTTGGGGGGCCTCTCCTCTCTCCTGTAGCTGGGGGGAGACCTGGGCGGAGGTGTTGGGGGAAGTCCAGCCGTAAGTAAAGTCTGTTTGTCCGTCTGCCTCCTGAATAAAACTGCTCGCTTGTGTTTAATTCTTCTGCATACGCAGTGAGAAGTCTTCACGTATGTTAGGAAAACTTTCATTTTAATATGATGAAAATCATTTTTAGGTGCTCCTAATTCAGCATGGATTGTTTGTTTTTAACCCTGCTATGAGACGACAGAATCTGGTACAGTTCATTGAATCTCTGATGGGAATGTTTTGGTGTACTGCATGGTCTGCAAGCATAAACAATAACCATAATTTTCATTTTATTCCACAAATCAGCTGCCTTTATGATAAATGGGTTAAAACACATAAAAATTTTGATTTTTCTTGTTCTGTTTTAGTTTTATCTCTCTTTAAATTAGATCATTTCCTTCTGCTTGACTTAAATACTTACTTATACACTCACCGGCCACTTTATTAGGTACACCTGTCCAACTGCTCGTTAACACTTAATTTCTAATCAGCCAATCACATGGCAGCAACTCAGTGCATTTAGGCATGTAGACATGGTCAAGACAATCTCCTGCAGTTCAAACCGAGCATCAGTATGGGGAAGAAAGGTGATTTGAGTGCCTTTGAATAGGCCTGTCACGATAACAAATTTTGCTGGGCGATTAATTGTCTCAAAATTTATTGCGATAAGCGATAATAT